ACAGTGGAACAGCTTCCACAGGAGAGACTGAGGCAGTTCCACCTCGGAATATCCCACAACTCAGTGATTAGGACATTTACCAGAGAGGTAGCAGATTCCCATTCAAATCCTCTCTCTCTCTCAGACAACAGGAGGACTTGACTACAGGGTTTCCCATATCTCAGATGGGTACCTTCACCACTGGACTAAAAAGCAGGGAGCTGCTGCTTGCAAGAAATACCATAGGTGCTTCACTCCAGAAGTGGGTTCGTAGCTGAGAAGCCCACGCAGAGATAGGCATTGAACTCCTGGAGAATGGTGTGGCTTACAACACACCTCTCCCATTGGCTAGCTTAGGCAGGGAGACACCTAGCATGCTGGCTTTTGTGAATCACATTCTTAGGCACCTATCTTCCTCCATTCATTGCCTAGAAAGGCTGAGCACTCAACTTAGGCTTTGTGAATTCCAATGATTTTCTATGTACCTAAAAGTTAAGTGTGGTAACGCTGAGTGTTGCAACACCTAGATCCCAGCATGCATCTAGCCCTAAGTCACTTTTGAAAAATGGGAGTTAGGCTCCTAAGTCACATATCAGAGGGGTAGCCATGTTAGTCTGGATCTGTAAAAAGCAACAGAGAGTCCTGTGGCACCTTTAAGACTAACAGATGTATTGGAGCATAAGCTTTCGTGGGTGATGCTTATGTCACATAGGCATTTGAAAATGCAACCCTTTGTCTATATTGATAGTTCACTTTGTAGTCAGTCACTAATGTAGTTGTACCAGTTCAAGCCCCAAGTGTGAACAAGAAAACCCCCAATTTGCACTGATAGAGCTTACCATTACCAGTTCAAGTGTGGTTAAGATAACACAAGTGAAAAACTTTCAACTCCATTACTAATCCCCTGAGCAATTCTGTTCACTACATGTGTACAATTGTATTATTAGGTTGCTCTTCATTTTTACAGACAGCACACTGGTTGCTTTAAAAGACTTTTTTAAAGCATGCGTTTAATCCATCTCCTCTCCGTAGCTTTCAACAATCAAGGGTCAGGTTCTGCTTAGATCTGTGTGTCGCAATGCCTGGTTACCCTCAGAGCTGTTTATTTCAACTCTGTGTCAAAGGTTCTGATTCCACTGTCAGCTGTAAAACAATTAATCCAGAATGCAACACAACTGGAAAGTGCTCCAAACCAAATTCTTTTAAAGAAGAAGCAAACCAGGGCTGCTCCTGCAAAGAGCACAAGATGTTTAATAGATAATCATTCAAGATCAAATACTACCTTCTATTACATGGTGCACTGGGGGGCTTGCACTGTGTTACTAAGTCTATGACTACACTTTTGGCAGGCACTACAGGCGTAGCTACACATCACAGTGAAAGGCTTCGGTAACTCCCTTTCCTGCTGCTGGAGCCTTTTCCTGCTGCCCCAGTCTTTCACTGCAGTGGGGAAAGTCTCCGCCAGTAGGGAGGGAGGAGGACACTACACTACTACAAAAAGCAGTGTAGCCAGGAGAGGGACTGCTTGGGTGAGTAGAGAGCTGTGTAAGGTACATAGCCTGGGGGTGAGGCATGTAGAGCACTCCACTTACCTAAGCTGTGTCTCACTGTCTACACTGCTATTTATACCTGTGCTATGACTGAACTTGGCCCTAGGCATTCAGTTTGGTCAGGTTTTATGGTTACATCTTGAATATATAAAAGCAATTAGATTCCACGCACCCCCCATCACTACAATGGGAGAGGAAATTAGCATTTTTTATATTAAAAATACTAGTTGGTTTGTTGGGTAAAGGAAGGAGGTGAACTCAAAGTACTCTGCTACCCGTTATCTAATCTGGTAAACTGGTTCATATAGTTCTGTAGCATTGTTAGTAAACTATTTTACAGCATCTTACTATGGAGTGCAGATAATACTTTGATTAAACAAATACCAGGAGCCATTGGTAGCTCCTAATCTATGTTCATGATAACATCCTCTCATTCATTTTATTTGTTTTAGTGATGGCACTCCAAGTGTTAATGTACTGATAATTGCATGCACCCTATTCCTAGAGTAAATAAGTCTGAAATGTTCTTGGACTCATATTGCACACTAGCATCCTTTGTTTAAATTCCTTAGACAACATCCATCACTATCTGGCACTACTGACTTTTATACACGGCAGCTTGGCAGTGAGATTCCAGGAGGCTAGTGGGTTTAGAAACACTGAACATATTAAAATATATTTGTGTTTTAAACACCACAAGTACAGACCAGTCATGGCCACTAACAGTGTTATCCACTTTCTCTTTAGTCAGTGAAGTATCGAGGTAACCACTCCCTTATGTTTTGTATTAAAGCAACATATGAATATGCTTAATGCAAGATTTAAGTAGTGTAGTAGACTACAGTTACAAAAAGACAGGAAATGTAAAATATACTGTCCCTACAGCAATGTTAACTGGTCCATTAGTCTTGCTGTGTATGCTAGGTCCATTAATGTATAGTGGACTAATTAGTTTTAAGCTATACTGGATCCACGTATAATGTACACTAGATCCATTCCTTTTTACCAATCATCAATTTTCTCCTGTTTCTGATTTGTAGAGGGTTTTTTGGGATCATTTTGCCACGTGCGTGCTGTGTGTCTGTTGTGTGTGGGCCAGTGAAGCAATTACAACTCTTATTTCATTGGTCCCAACAGGAGCCTGGCATCATCAGCACCAGTTCTGGGCTCCCTAGTCAGCCCAAACAGGAGAGTGGCAGTGATAGAGCAAACGCTGGGTGAATAATGAAAAAAGTAGTCACTGCATAATTTATTTGAAAAATATCCTGACATTTGTCAAGTAAATTATTCAACTAATATTCAATCAGCTGTTGCTATCACAGAGAATGTGAGGATTCATTAGCTTTGATTAAAATTTCAGTAGAAGCAGAGTAAGTATATTCAGAATTGGTTTCATATTTTAAAAAGTAATGATCTCACCCAATCTAAACAAAATTCTCAATAAGGACTATGTCAATGCTAAGTTTCAAAGCGTTGTTTATTCTCTGACATTTCTCCCCCACTCCACCCTATTTGGTCAGAAGTGTCTAAAAGGGCTTAACTGAAAAATAAAATCACCCTTGGGTACAGAGTAAAGGTCAATCCTGCAAACACTTATGCATGATCTTAACTTTACTCATGTGAGTAGGATGACCAGATATCCCGATAAAATCAGGACTGTCCTGATATTTAACCCTTTGTCCCGCGTCCCGATCAATGTACGATTAGGATGCCATTTGTCCCAATCAGGGCCGGCTCCAGGTTTTCTGCTGCCCTAAGCGGCAAAAAAAAAAAAAAAAAAAAAAAAGAACTGCGGCAGCACAATTGCGCTGCTCCACTCTTCAACGGCAATTTGGCAGCGGGTCCTTCGCTCCGAGAGGGACTGAGGGACCCACCGCCAAATTGCCGCTGCCCTGGTATTGGCCGCCCCAAGCACCTGCTTCTTTAGCTGGTGCCTGGAGCCGGCCCTGGTCCCGATATTCAGGTAAGGAGGTGAGCGGGAGGGAGGTGCTGACTCCGTGGGTGCTCCAGGGGTGGAGCACCCACAGGGAAAAATTTCAGCCAAGCTCCCCCCTCCTCGCCTCCTTCTCCCTCTCTCCCCCCAGCGTACCGCATCCCTGCTCCTTCCCCCCTCCCAGCGCTTCCCGCCGCAGCACTTAGCACTTTCCAGGAGGAAGGAGGCGGGGCGGGGATGCGACGCACTCAGGGGAGGAGATGAAGAAGAGGCAGGGCAGGGCGGGGACTTGGGGATAGGGGGCGGAGCGAGGGTGGATGCTTGGGCGGGAAGAGGCGGGGTGGTGGGCGAGCACCCATCTGGCAAAGGGGAAGTCGGTGCCGGAGAGGTGAGTGGCGGGCGGGGGGATGAAGAGCGGGGGGGGAGGGGAGAGTGAAGAAGCGAGTGAGCGGCGGGCGACCGGGGTAGGTGAGGAGGTGAGCGGTGGGTGGGGGACTGAGGAGGGATGCAGCAAACCAGCAGGGGATGAGGAAGGGCGCGGTGTGGGGGGGCCAAGCGGGGAGGGCGTGGGACCTGGGGCAGAGTGGGGGCGGAGCCTGGGAGGAGCAGGGGTGGACTGTGGGCAGGGCTGATGGCACCCCAATGTGTCCTGATATTTTAGTGTTGTGATCTGGTCACCCTACATGTGAGCAGCCCCACTGAAGTCACTGAGAGGACTTACGTGAGTTAAGTTAAGCACATGTGTAAGTATGTGCTTGTTCCCACCAAAAGCATGGAAGAAATAAATAAAGAAGCAAATAGGGAAAAAAAATAAAAATAAAAAAAGAGGGGAAAAACAGTGACATGTGTTACCTTAAACATAGCAAGCACTGGGAAACACCCTCTATAGTATAAGAGTCAGATCTGCTTCTTTCAGATCGTTATCTTATTGACCTTCTGTAATCAACATATCAAGCAGTGATTTATGATTGCCTCTCCCTATGGCCGATGATAGTATTATTTATGGGAATGAAGAATTGGATTTTAAACAGCATAAGACTCAGAATAAAGAAATAAGTGAATGCCTCAGGACCCCAATTCAATCCACTGCCAGTAAAGGGTACTGCCTTAGCCCAGATCAGGTCAGAGGAGAACACAGATACCACACCCCCAAACAATAGTGGAAATGAAAAATACAAAAGAAGTATTTAACCAATGCATGCAAAAAAAACCCAACATGTGACCACAGAGCTCATTAAATTTATATATGGCAGCAGGATAAACACTCATTCAATCTACAGTCTGGAAGTCATCTGTGTTTTATTCATCTCTGTGTTAGCATCCCAACCGCACCTGATCTTCTGGATCTTCTTCCTAAGGCATGGGAGAAGCAGGACGCTTTTACAAAGCAGGACTATAATAGGAAGAAAAATGGCTATCATAAATGTAGGGGGGGTGTACCACACAAATTGGTTTACGTCAACCCATTTATTCCAGGCAAATACCAATGCGTGAATTGTGCATAGCAGCAAAGCTAAATACCCCATCTTGCTCTGGAAAGAGAAAAGAACACAAGTTTATTTTTTTTCCCAATAACAGTAAAAAATGTACTTTATTATTAGGCAGATGTTGTAAGCACTAAGGGCTTGATGCATAACCCACAAAAGTCACTGGGCTTTAGATCAGATCAAAAGACCATTAATTCAGTAACTCAATCCTAAACCCATCAAAGTAGTGGCAAAATTCTCCTCGACTTTAATGGGAGAAAGTTTGGGCACATTTTTGCAACTTTTCCCTAGAGCAGAAGTATAAATGAGATGTCAAGAGAGATGGGTGGTCTATGGTGCTACATACAAATCATACTTTCCTCAGAAGACATAGGTTCATTCTTGATATCAGCTTAGTTTCCCCACATGCCATTTGTATCCTGCGTTAGCAGGAGCATGGATGTGACTTGATGTTTTGTTAAGTCTTTCCCACCTCTTATTTCTATAAGTACAAAGTAAGATTTTTTTTTAAAATTTCTTGCAAAGCGAATTATTACAATCAAGAACTTCTGATGTTCCATGCTATGAAAAAAAAAACACCCCAATTTAATAACTGTAGAAGAGCTCAGTGCAGAAATAAATCCAGTGATGTCAGTGGGAGTTGATTTAGGATGCTCAGGGAATTCAGGATCAGGCCCGAAGAGAAAAAAGTACTAGCAGCAACACCGAGGAAACAAAAATTGTTTTTTTTTAAATGTAACTTTTCATAGTAATCACTGGGAAATCATACACTGCACTTTCATGTTCTAGATATCCCTTCACATAATCAGATTGATAAATTATTTGTTTACAAAACTAATCTAGCATATTAGTGTTATTCTTCTGGTTAGATGGACTTCTTTACCTTGCTGCTGGTATGGGCTGGGTGACGCCTAGTTGAAGAAGAAGGTGGGCATAATTGCTGCCCTTTCATTTAGGACAGCATGAGAAGCTATTGAGCTCCTCTAGAGAACTGAGACGTTGAAACACTACGAGCATCACTCAAAACAAAGGCGGATGCAAGACAGGTCAGAAACAGAGCCACACAGGTGAAGAGGTTTCCACTGGATATTGTTTTAGTGGAGATGTGTGTGTCTGTGATAAAAGCAGGAGGGAAGAAAAAACACCACAGAAGCTGAGACACAAGCAGTAGAAGGCCAAGGGCACAGCCAGAACCAGCACTGTCTGGGAATGCGTCCTTGAGAGAGCTTTGGGGCTAAGTGCTGCCTGGAACTGAGAAAAACGAAACTGTCTCCTGCTATTTGATTCCTGCTGTGTTCAGGGAAACAGGACTTTATGTACATTCTTTGGAAATTAACAGAGTTGTATCAGAGAAACACTGTAGTATCTGATTTCTCCTCTACAGAAACAACCCTCTAGATCCTGAATCTTGGCTTACTGGTTGGGTCAAAAAGGGATAACAGTACTTTAATATGAATAGCCAAAATTGTGAGGTAGAGGCCCCTCTTCACTACCTTCCCCCAGCTACTCTCTATATATCTGAGAATGTTCACCACAACTGACTTCATCTCAAGTTACAGTATATATGATCCCCCATCACAGCACTGTCAGGAGATACTCATTGATGACCTAATGCAAAGTGCTTAATAGGTCATCAAACTTTCATGTTTAGGTACTCAGGGCCTGATTCAACCACTCTTCTAAACTAGTTTTACACTGACTTCAGGGGAGTCTTTTAAAATTAACACTAATGTAAGTTAGAGGAGAACTCCAGCTCCTCAAACTGACGCCTAGGTGGCTGAAGCAAGCACATGTGGATGCTGAGATTGGTACATATGTAGGATTGACTGGGTGTACCTATGGGCAGAATTTGACCCCTTACTTTTTCAACTAGGTTCCTTTGCTTTGAATTTTGTGCTGGAGAGGGAGAGTGAAAGCCTATGTTTATGGTAAGAACCTGATCCTTGCCCTCCCTTCCATCAGCTTTGTGCTGCTCAGGCACATCAGGGCATGTCTGGGCCAGTAGGAATGGGCCAAGTTATTTCTGAAATGCCTTTTATGTCAATGATACTTGGCCAATAGAATGATCCCAAAGTGACCATCACTGTCAGTGGCCAGCCCCTGGATTAGTGGAGCAGAAAGGTGGCCTTTCCCCCTACCTTGTCTCCTATACTGAATGCAAGTTGGCTTGGTCCCAAGGATCTGGCCTTAATGGTTTGATTTAGGATGTGGCAGTACAAATGCATCTCCGCTGCCCTGCCAACGTACCTTGATCCTGTTCTGGACTCAAAAGAATCTCATGTTAACACCCTTCTAATACTTGACTTTATGATCAAGCCTCGAACAAAGGTGCAAATTGTGGGGGTGTTTTTTGTGATGGACTGCACTGAGTCCAGAGTCTCATTTCTCATGCGGTAGGTCATGGAACAGCCATCTGATTTTTTATAACCAAGACTGTCAAGTTGGTGATATCTGAACTAGTGTCCTACAGGTGTGGGGATACTCCTTGTCATTAACAATCTCTAATCCTCAACAACATTGTAGCCTATCAATATGTCAATCTTTTTTTGCCAAATAACAAAGTAGAATGTTTATTGCAAAGCAATTGGCAAAGGACACCGAGTAAATTTTCAGACTGGTTTCCATGAACACTGTATGGTCTGATATTTTAGAGAAAGGCTATTACTGCTGATCTTAATTTATAATGTAAAATCCTCCAAGAGCGCACAGATCACATGTAATGTTTATGTGTACCTGAATACAGTGGAACTCTCTCCAGGTCAAAGAATGGCTGACAGATGGAATTGATGTTACTGCCAGTATGGCCAGCAGAGCTAGTCCCAGAATCCCTAGAGACACATAAATCTCCATTCTCCAGACATCATGTTCAATCCAGGCATTTTCCTTTTTTTGCTTGACCTGCCAAAAGAACATTACATTTAAAGTGACAGACTGACACAGGACCTTGCTGTTCCCAAGAATTGTAGCTATTTACATTAGAGTCATTTAGCCATGAGCCAAGAGAAATACTGGGCTTTGTTTTCACTCTCTTTCTTTTGCTTTTGCCCTACAAGTGAGAACACAGCTGAGTCTCTGCATTTAACTGTTAGGTTATTTACTTCTGATGACAAAGGTTGCATCAGTCTATGCTGAAGAAAAATCAGCTAGATTGAGAAGTGTTTACTGACTTGAGAAATGCCTTGACCCAGAGGAGACTTTTCCTGCAGCCTTCACAGCAGGGGAATCTTTATTCTTTCACAAACAAAATTCCACCTATGGCTAAACACCATATTTGGAAGATTCTAACAGGAAATATATTAACCTGGACTATTTTAAGGGGCTAATCAGCAGGCATTCTCAATTACTTTGTTATCCTGCCAGGATAGCTATTTAGCTCTAAGAATTACACTTGGCCCATTGAGCTGCCCTGAAAACAATGGTCTGTACAGAGGAAAGGATTAGACTTCAGAGGACCTTGATCCTCCAGGTTATTCTAATTTATGGCTGCCTGTAACAGCCCTTAAGAGGCCATTGCATCAGGTAGGGATCATCACAATGCAGTGTGCTCCAGTCACAGTCATTCTAGCCTGACATGGCACCAGGACACTCTCGATACCGGGAGGGCTGCGAGTGGCTTAGCAGCACTATACTACCTGGGGATACTCTAATGCCAGGGAAATTCCCAGCAGGCCATTCAGGCCAGTTTTTTGTAAATTCTGGAGCAAAGAGCTTGTGCATGTGCAGAATTCTCAAGAAGCTGAAAGCACCCTACTCTCTTTGAGTCAAACACATCTATGCTCATAGGAGCCGACTCCGGGAAAAATTAGTGGGTGCAGCCAAGCTCCCCTCACCTCCCCCCCCCCGAGTGCATCGTGTCCCCACTCCTCCGCCTACTCCCAGTGTTTCCTGCCCGGCTATCGCCAAACAGCTGTTTGGTGGCGTTAGCATGCTCTGGGGCAGGGGGGAGGGAGGAGCGGAACATCACGCGCTCAGGGGAGGAGGCGGGGAAGAGGCAGGGCTGGGGATTTGGGGAAGGAGTTGGAATGGGGGCAGGGAGGGGGCGAAGACTTTGGGGAAGGGTTGGAATGGGCAGGGCAAGGGTGGGAAGAGGTGGGGCAAGGGCAGGGCCTCATGGAAAGGGTGGCATGGGGGCAGGGGCAGAGGGAGGGTTGAGCACCCAGGGGAAAGTGGGGAAGTCGGCACTTATGTCTACGACAGCGGAAAGCTGAAATAGGACTTTAAGACTAACACCACTTCATACTTATTTATTACTTATAGGACATGGCAAATCGGGATTAGCACAGGAGCTGTATAGATAGGAAGACAGTCAGATGAGGATCTCAAAGTACTTTACAAACAACTAATTACCTCTGAGGCAGGTATGATTGTAGCTGTTTTATGGAGGGCTAATCTCAAACCCACACAGGGGAACTGACTTGCTCAAGAGTATGCAGATTCATTGGCAGACCCATGATTGACACCTGGAGGATGGGACTCTTAGTTCCAGGCTTTAGCAATCAGATTCTGCTTTCTCACTTTAACATACCCTGGCCTGTTAAATGAAGCAATATATACTTTGTGGGTCAGCCCATTGGTTTTTAAACAAAGAGCTTTGTGGCGGCTGCTCAGATTCAAATGAAAATCTTTCTCCTCACAGGCTTCTCTGTGTGAGTTGAGTAGATGTGAGATCAGGACTCTGTCAATAAAGAAGTTTTAGTTCGATATTTGGACCCAATCATACCTGTTGGTACGCCCAGTTCAACAGCTTGTATCTGTAAGATCTCCTCATTGGGTAGCACAAGCTATAGCACGCATGCATTGAGGCAAAGAAAAAACTGAGAAGGCCGAGTTGCTTTCTTGATAACATCCACCCATTCAACCACTGTGGAAATCGTTTGTACTTGGTCCCATAGTGGAGCTGGAAACCTGCAGCTAATATCCCTGGTAAATAAACCAGTGCAAGAAGAGTGATTGAAACCACTGGTAAAACTTTGTTTATGACCAGGATTGGAATTTTATAGAAAGTGTTTTCATTAGTAGTGACAAAAGGGTGGACAACATCTCTCAGAAAAGTATAGATAAATATTAGCAATGAGGCTATAGATGCTATCTTCAGTGGCAAGTGCCATTTGGGGAAGAGATCTTGCTTGCAGTATTGATCTGAAGGGTATTCAAACTCATCAAAATGATGTGTTTGATGTAAATGAAAAAACGCAACCTCTTCGTGGGTGTAGGTGACTTGGAAATCCGTATTCTGAAAAGGATAAAAAGAAAAAAAATGTGTCAAGTTTAAGAGGAAATTAAAGAATCCATCAATCATGTTAGACTCCTGCATTATTGCCCTTTCACCATATGTTTCCCTTACATTATACAAAACAGTAACATAATAGCTATCAAAGACGAGACAGCTCAAACATGTGAGGTTTCAACTCTCCGATACTTAGGTACTTAGCTGATCTGTGCTGAGGCAATTTAAATCTAGATTTCTGGTTCCCTATTCATCCTCTAAGGTGGCTTCTGAATAGATTTTCACTCCAGGAAGTTAACTACCACAAGAGAAGATTTCATTATGACCTCTTCTGATAAGAGGAATAAATTTCAAGACACAGATTAATAATGTAACCCAAATAACCCACATGGCAATGGAAGCCAGAGATTGTATAATACAACATTCTAGTCAGCCAGTGATATTTTAACTGCATTTACAGGAGAAATTGAATTTTTTTTGATTGATGGTTCACAGACAGTAGAAATCAGAGAGCTAGGAGTACACATCAGCCCACTCCATGCTTGAGTCCCCTTCTTCCTCACCAGATACACACAAGATCTAATAGTTTTCTGCCTCATTTTCCCCTTCACAAATGATGTGAAATTAGATCATCTCAACTACAAAATTTAATTTTCTTCTGCCAGGTAGGCATGGCTTGATGGACTCTTGCTGAAGTTGGTGACAAAACTCTCATTGACTTTGGTGGGAGCAGAATTAGGCCAGAACTTCAGCATAACACTATAGCATGCATTACAGTCAGTGAATTTAAAGATTGTCCTGTGGTTATTAACTCTTGGAGAGGGAAACAGATTAGAATTTATGTTTTCCTTTTATATCTATGCAATAATGGGATGCTGGTAAAAGTTTTTCTGGGGGTGAGGAATTGCATTTATTCTTCACAATCCAAAAGGAGTGTTCCCTTCATAATCCTGTAAAAATAAAATAAAGCTTCAAATAAGCAGAAATGGTTCCGTTTGAAGACATCTAACTTGACATATGTCCAGAACTCAGTGAAGAAAAGTCTCTGTACTAGATTTGGGAAAAAATAATTAGCGACTGTAATTTGGAAGTTCTAAATCTGCCTCACGTTAGGACATTGGAGGACTCCCAAACACAGGCGCTAACTTTCTTCTTTCCGGGTGGGTGGTTCACCCCTGCTTCGGCCAGAGTCCCTGCCCCCACTCTGCTCCTTCCCCCAAGGCCCCACTCTTGCTCTGCCTCTTCCTGCCTCCTCTCCACCCCCTCCCCCGAGCGTGCCCTGCCCTCACTCCACCTCTTCCCACCCTGCTCCGACCCCTTCCCCCCAGCGCCTCCTGCCTGCCGCTGAAGAGCTGATCAGCAGCAGGCACTGGGGGAAGAGGCAGAGCAGGGTGAGAAGGGGGCCCGCCGAGCAGCTGACTGGCGGGTGGCTGGTGGGTGCTTACCACCCACTATTTTTTAGCATGGGTGTTCCAGCCCCGGAGCACCCATGGAATCAGTGCCTATTCTCCCAAAGCAGGTTCAGGGCTGTCATCCAGCATCATTCTCAAGAACCAAACTGCTCCATATGATAAGTCAGAGGGGGAAATTCAGAGATGATGTGCAAAAGGGGGCAGCATGTAGCTCATTGGTAATTGGGTGCGAGTCTCCACTTCAAGCTGGGAGTGTAATTTCCAGCTCAAGGAGACATACCTGTGCTAGCTATGATTGAGTAAGCACGCTAAAAATAGAATGTGGTCCCAGTGGCGTGAGGGATTGGTTGAGCAGCAGGAAGGGTAGCCAGCCTGAGTAGGTAACTGTCCGAGACCACATGCACATACCTGGGGAAGTTAGCTCCTCCTGCCGCCACAGCTACATTCTATTTTTAGCATGCTAGTTCCATCAGAGCTAGCGAGGGTATGTCTCGTTGAGCTGGGAATTCCACACCCAGCTCGAAGTGCAGGCATACCCTAAGGCTTTGTCTTCACTGACAGAATAGTATTTGGGTTTTTGACAGCGAGATAACAAGTGTGCATAGTGATCTCGCTGTAAAATCCTAAGTGGAGACAAGGTACTCACAATGGTTACTGCATGACAGCGAGGTGAAATCAGCCCTCCTCTGAGGTTTGACCTAGTTTACCTTATGCCTTGTCTCCAGTAGGTTTTACACTAGGACAGCTAACATGCTAGTTATGCCACAGTAAAAGCATAGCTTGTCTGTCTGTGAAGACAGACTCCATTAGATGCACTCAGGCTAGGGGTAACCTTACGCTGCAATCGGAGGTGTGACTCTAGCTCAGGTAGACATACCCATGCTAGCTTTAATCTAGCTAGCATGGCTAAAAACATAAGTGTAGACGTAGCAGCTCAGGATTCAGCACGGGATATACAAGCCCGCTGGGGCCCTTGAGTACCTACTCCCATCACTAGCCCATGCTGCCACATCTACACTGATACTTTTAGCAATGACAGTATGAGTAAAGCCAGCGCGGCTATGTCTACCTGAGCTGCAATCGCATCTTGGATTGCAGTGCAGACATTCCGTAAGCAGCTCTAGAGGGTGAGCAGAGGCAGGCTGAACTGGTGTAACATACATGCGGAGAGGACTGAAGATGGGGTAAATTATACGCACTAAAATTCATCTGTGAACTTGGCCCAGAGGTTCTAACCTTTTGAAGAAGTGGTTTGAAAGGCCTAATTCAATGATAAGGGATAGCTACCCTCAGGATAAGGAATTAGTTCTGTGACTCAGCACCTACTGAGGCTCTGGGGGATGGGCGGGCACAAGCCTGCCCACATCTAAATGCCCTTCCCCCCAGCCTAAGGGGAGGAGCTACTTGATCCAGGCATCAAGATTTGGGGGGGCGGGGGGGAGGGAAACAAATGAAAAAAACCAGGCAAGGGAGTGAGGGTCACAGGGTTAAAAGCAGGGAGCCAGAGGCAGACCCTGAGCAGAGAACCCTGGACTGTGCCCACTGCTTCTCAAAGTCATCCAGGGAGCCAGTGGACACGGCCCAGAGGAACTCTGCCCAGATACATGACTTTAGGCAGGTTCAGAAATAGGCCCCACAGTCGCAGAGCACTTCCCAGTTCAGCTTCCTCCTGCAGAGGCAAATTTCTGCTGGAAAAGATTTTTGTTGTGCTTTTCTTTTGGGGCAGTGAGGAAGACATAATGTTCATTGTGAAATGACTACTTTAAAAAGACTGTCTTTTAAAGGGGGAGTTCAGGGATTTCTTACTGGAATAAAATAATTTCTACTGGGCTTTGTTCAGCTAGTAGGGCACAACTCAAACCCCTTATGTAGCTCTGAACTGTGCCGCTACTCCACTGGCCCAAACTGTGTGTTTAAGCATGGTCTCGGACTACACAGAATGAAATGTCTTTATCTTTTTATCTCCTCATGACAATATTGTTACAAGACTTAAAGATGAGCTGATGAGATCCCCGTGTTATGGAAACAGTTAATTCTCTAGAACAACCGAGGTGCGAGATCAAACATTTGCATGATGCATATGAGCTTTTTTTATATGGATGTTACCGAATCGTTATGGTTTCCCGTATTTCTCCCAGGCTCCGGTTTCTGAACTTCATCCTGATCCATCCTGCTCTCCATTACAGAGGAACCCTGAAAAATAACTACAGGATGTAAGTCATCAAGTGCTCAAAGGCACTGCTGCAATTTTGTCACTTATTTTATTGAAATGCAGAAATGACCATATTTTTCATTTGCCATATGTTTGCAGGACCATTTGCCTCCTATGGAAGTGACACTCAGCCTGTGGCTTTAGAGTGGTGCATGCTTCCTTGGGGGCACTCATGGCTCTAACTGGAGTTCCTTGCATTTTTTCCTGATCCTAGGCAGAACGAGGATCATGAGACCACTCAGTTCTGTTTGAGACATTAAAGGCAGCATAGGTAAAGCTGAGCAAGTTGAATGGACTTGCGAAGATCACGTCAATCCATAACAGTGAGGTCAAGGTTTGGGGAAGAGATAAAATGGAAAGGGTCTGCAGCACTATCCTCTCTTGGTTTCAATGCTGCCATTCTAATAATCCTTTTTTGTACCACTTCACACAGATTTCCAAGAGCATGATGTGGATTGGAAAGATAGATGGGCAAGTGATATTCATGCATTAAGACATGCAGCTCTTATTCTGATACTACACATTCTAGAGATGAGAATCCCAACAATACCTGCCTGCTATTAAAGGCTTGTGATATTGTGGAGTATGGAGTGAAATTCACTATAATGGCTATCAGCTGGGATGACAGCTGTTGTTGCAAAAGTAATGATTAGAAGCCAATTTATCAGTTTTCTGGAAATAAAAACATTCCTAATAAGCAATACTGAAAAAAGAAACTGTGAGAATGAATGCATGTTCTCATCCAATGCAACACACGTCTCAGCTGTGGAGCTGCATACAATGAATCATAGGGGACGGGTCATGAAAGTCCACTTGTTTTCTTGAGCCAGAATTAATGAAATAAAATATCTGCTGAATGTCCAATAATGAGATATTGGTTAGGAGGGTCCAAAATAGGAGACATTAATAATTCTACTCTGTGGTAAATGCTAAATGAATTGGCAAGAAGCAGCCACAACCAGTGCACCCACTGAGACAAAGAAAATTACATTTAAAAGTCCAGCTGTTGAGGAAATAGCTAAACAGAATTATGACTAAGTAGATCATAACTATTATTGCATGACAAAAGTGTTGTAGTAAGTCCTTTCCTCACTGCACGTCGGCTCAACTTCCCACCTTCTACAGTGAAGCAGTAAAATCATTTAAAACTATAAGGGACAAGCTCCCGCTGTTGAATATAACGTTTGCTGTCCACTTTGAGCTCAGCTGGTAAACCAAATGATATTTTTCCTTCTGATGTGACCATTCCATTTTGTAACATGAAAAGCTGACTCAGAATTATGCTAAATAAATAAACTAAGGTCCAAAATCTGCAGCCCTCACTCAGGAAAAGCTACCTATGAAGACTATGGGAGATTTTACGGAGTAAGGACTGCAGGACTTGGCCTTATGAGAAGAGACATAATAAACATGATTAGAACCTACTGTGGGAGTTGCATCTGAAAACCTGTTATTATATTTGCAAAATTACAGCATAGGTATCAAGAACCAAAAGTTTTTCTTTTAAAGAACTCTGCATTGTTTGGACATATGCACACAGTTTCTAAAAAAAGAACTTTCCACATTTGCATTTAGCAAAGCTTTCGTTCTGAACTTTGTGGAAGAACTATTGAGAAACACACAGTATTTGGAACAGTTGAAGTATTGTTGTGGGTTTCCTCTCTACAGTCAGAATGGGATTAGATCTTCTCCAGGTTTTGAGACGTTGTCCCTAAAAAGCGACCCAGGTGAGGATGTATGACAATCCGTGAACAAGCATTGTTCTTCACAGAAATAGTCTAAAGTCTGTTCCAATCAACCAACCCAGCGGGGTGGAAGTCAGACTCGCAGGCACAGGAAATATGAATAAGCTGCTGTTTACTACAAACGGGAGCCTTGTCTGGAAACATTTCCCCAGGACTCGGGCGACTTCTGTACAGGCAGCTCAGATTAAAGCCTGGGAAACTAAACCAAACAAGACTTTGTCACCCTGAGTCTGGGGTTTACTCCCCTCCCGTTGTGGACTGTAAAACTAGTTCTTACAGCGATTTCTGAGTCACCAGTTGCAGGAAGGTACTAATTGAATTTGCCGCTGGAGTGGGGGAGGGTGAGGACTCCGGAGTGAAGTGAAGTTAGAGGTTGCTCTCCAGGACTCCTCCTGCTCCCGTTGTAACGGGTCTCCCGAAAGCCCACCAGTGGCTCGGCTCAGTAAGTATTTGATTAATCAGGGCAAGGCAGGAGAAAGCGAATCGATTGCTGCTATTTGTCTGCGTGAACGTAAAACGCGGGGCTGTTAGAAAACGCAGAGATTAAACTGAAGTTACTTACAAACTTTCTACCTCGGTTTAGGTCTCCAGGCTCAGGACAGGGTGAGATTCCAAGGCGCGCTGGCGCAGCCCACACGCGACCTTGCAAGTCTGATGCCCAGACTTCAGCCTGCCCATCGTCCCTCCCTCCTTCCTTCCAGCCCCGCCTTCTGCATCCATCCATCCGGCTCCACCCCGTCTCCGCTGGGGCTGGGTGAAAACTGGATTTGCCAGAATCCTGTTGATTTTCGTCCACACAGCCCTCAAATTGTAAGGGCTAACTAGAGATCAGGTTTCACTGCGCCTTCTGCACCAAAAAACTCTAGGCCCATGCTGCTCCGGTACAGAAATCTCCGGATCCGGCAGCTGGAGTTTTCTGGATCCAACCACGTTTGGCTCCACACTCAAATTCTAATGTGTGAAGAGGGGACACATGTAGCTGCTCCTCTCACCCCAAAGCCGTTCAGTGCCCAACGCATCCTGGCACATCAGTGCCACCACCAATCCATGGATCTGGTATATGGATCCGCGGGATCCAGCCAATTTTTGGCTCCCATCCTGCAAATTGTACTGCTTTGACCGAAGGTGAGACATCCCACTGCATCCTAGCGCAACAGTGGCGCAAAAAGCCGGAGCTAGCGCCCCAGATCCTGCCAGTTTGGGGCCCTAACTCCCCCCTCCCCCCAATTTCCCAGCCTAAATAGAGAGCATAACATGCCTCACCTCAATTGCACATTCAATTCCGAGCTCCCTCCCCTAACCCCGCTGCCAGCCAAACCCGTCTCCTTCTTGCTGACAAACAGCACTTCTGCAGCCCTGTCTCTACTAACGTAACCCTCACGACCAAAGTCTGCCCTGATCTTGCCCCTTTTATCTGTGGCAATTCTGACAAAGTTGACCCACCTTGGAGATGCATTCAGAACACTAGCTCCGGACTGTGTTCACACTAGTACTGTGGATTATCTTGTCGGCATTTGGGAAGTTACTGCCATTGATACAAAACGTTATTCGCCTCTCGCACTTGCTGTCAGAGTAAATCGCCTATGCCTCGGGCTGCACTCGGGTTTAGTGGAGGTTTGCTAATGTAACAGTCTCATTTGGTTGTTTAATTCGAAGTACTTGACTCCACGCCTTTGATTTGGTGTAGATCTACATAGCACAAGTTCGTCCACGCTGAGCCATGTGTCTGGCAGCAGATAAGAGATTGCCTGTGGATATAATTTTCTTCTCCTTTCGTGCTCTTTGTCACGCTTTAAAAATTTCTGTCAGGGTGACATCTAGCGGTAGGAACATGAGGGGAAGCACATGACTGCTTTAATCAGCGACAGCTAAGGGTAGTGTTATATGTAGAGAGATCTGGCTCAGTCTTTATATAAATATTAAGGTCCAAAGGCGGTCATGCTTCCATAGAGATCAATGGCAAAACTCTCACTAGAAATTCTTAATTGACTAGTTTAGTGGTATCTGGGCTACATTTGCTAAGTTACTTATAACATGACTAATATTGTTAAGCTGGGGGTTAGGTAATCATACCATCTCATTGAAATTGTTGATTATGACAGCCAACTTCCATTCAGGCTGAACAAGGAAACAATTAAGTGTCCTTTTGTTTAGTGAAAGGTAAAACAATGGAAAACCAGTACCAAAGGGCTAGACTGCTTGCAAACCTGGGCAGTGGCTAGACCATGCAGTCCAAGATGTGTCCCAGGATTCTAATAACATCAGGGTGGAAGGATTGATTTGATTACAGCTGTGTGTTTGTATGCAGGGGTGTCAAAGGGTGTACCTGCTCTGTAGTAATCCCTTCTAGCCCAGCCTGGCTCAAGAGCACCTGCCTCAGTTTCCCTTCCACTCAGAGTCCCTTAAAAAGTCCATGCAAGCCAGATATTCAAAACATTTTCCTTTCTGGAGTCCAATTTATTAAGTCCTATACAGTCTTTCAAAAGAAAACAAACTTAGAAAGCCTTCATCCCCTTTTCAGCTAGGCCCAGCTCCTCCTCCCCAAGAACACAGCTTCCTTCTACCCCCCAGCACCTCTAGCCTAAAGATTAGCCTTCTCCACAGGCCTTCCCTCCTGATATCTTCTCCCTACTGATTCAGGGCCCTTCAGGAACTGTCTTACTCCCTACATTGTCTGCAAGCAATTGCTAACAGCTAGCAACAGCTGTGTCCCCCTTTACAAGGTCCAGGTGCCTTCCTGTAACCCTATTGGGCAGCAGGTAATCAGTCCAGATGCACAGGTCTTAAAGGGACCAGCCCCTCTGTGATGGAGGAGAGAAGCAGCAGATAGTGAAGGTAACAAGCAAGCAAAGACAGTGAAAGATGCACATGTAGCATGATCCTGAGAAAAACTAAGCAAGGGTGCTTCTGGGTAGAGTGCTAGCTGAAAGAGACTTGGGATGGGGGGAAAGGAACTGTCTCCTGCTGTTTGATTCCTATTGAGTCAGGGAAACAGGACTTTAAGTACAGGAATTATGAAGCCACTCTAAAAATGTTTGTTGCCCCTGTCTTCTGCTAACTTGCCTGGCTAGGGCTATCTGGTAAACTACACTGTTTAGGAATGGCTTGCTATTTTCACCATATTTTAGCATCAGGGGTATCCAAAAGCATGAGGTGAGACCACAACTCTAATCTGAGAGGTGGCAACTGAACCTCTCAAGGTAGGAGGGGTCCTTCATTCTTCATGGATCATGCAGTTCTTGGCCTCTCCGCTGAGTCTGCCAAATAGTGTGATGGGTGATGGGGAGTTTGTGATATGGGAGCTGGAATGGAGACCCACCAAACTCATCTTATATAGAGGCCATCAAACGGCCATTAGATTGGAGGGGGAAAAAAACTTCTAATCACTACATGAGCTTCACTGTATTCAGACTGGTCTAGTGGTGCCAAGCTCATTAGCAATGAGTTGAAGCATCCAGTTTCCCAAGAGGTGCTAATTTAGGAAAGGGATTTTATTCTACCTAAGTTCTTATACGGCGCTTGTCACCAGAGTATCTGAACATTATGTGAGGTGACTATCACCTGTCACATGTGGTTTGTTCTCTCATCTTCTCTCCACTGGGAAAATTACACGTGCAGCAGAGTGGTGCTAGGGTTGCCGTTATTTCGCCATGTTCTTTGTTAGGTGTTTATATTAGAGAAGGCCAGGTTGAAGAAATGCACCTTGCTCTTGAAGTGGAAGGTGCAGGGCTGCCCAGAGGATTCAGGGGGCCTGGGGCAAAGCAATTTTGGGGGCCCCTTCCATAAAAAAAAGTAGTAACATGTATTTGGAAATGTAAAAAATAACCAGTGAAATACATTCAAAAATTAATTTTTAACAATTTGAAAATACACCAAATATATTATTTAAAAACATTAAATCCTTTAATGGTATGTATACATTTGAAATTACATAATGGGCTGTCGCTGGGTGATGGTGATGGTTGGTGCCAATGGGCTGTCGCTGCCTGGGGGTGGCGCTACTGTTGCGCAGGGCTGGGTGGGGAGCTGGGCTCTGGGTCGGGGGGTGCCTGGCTCAGAGGGGCTGGGCTCGGAGCTGGGATTCAGGGCTGGGGGGGGGGTTGGGAGTGCCCGGCTCAGAGGGGCTGGGCTCAGAGCTGTGGGTTGGAGGGTGCCCAGCTCTGAGGGGCTTACCATGCCGCTTACCCCCTCTCCCAGAGCCTCAGCGAGCCGCGTCCAGGAGCTCCTGCCACTTGGCCCGCCGGAGCTTGCAGCCCTGCCCCCTTACCACGCGGCTCCGAGCAGGAGGACCTCAGGCCCCGCCTGAGCCACGCTGCTGCAGCGCTGTCCAGGGCCGCTCCTGGACGCGGCGCGCTGAGGTGCCGGGAGATGGGGGAAGGCGGGGGTGGGGGAGAGCCTCCGAAATTCTCTTGGGGGCCAATGCGGGGCCCGGGGCCTGGGGCAAATTGCCCCACTTGCCCCCCCACTCTGGGTGGCCCTGGGAAGGTGATGAGGTTTGTGATAGCTCTTAGTTCCTGCAGGAGTTTGTTTCACAGTCTTTGACTAACTCCCAAGAAAGCTCTGACTCCTCCAGATGAGTTTTATTTTTATTCAGGGATGGCTCTAGGCACCAGCTAAAGAAGCAGTTGCTTGGGGCAGCCAATACCAAGGGGCGGCACTCTGGCCACTCTTGGGGCGGCACATCCGGGTCTTCGGCGGCTGGTCCCTCAGTCCCTCTTGGAACGAAGGACCTGCTGCCGAATTGCCGCCGAAGAGTGGAGCGGTGCGATTGCGCTGCCGCGGGCTTTTTTTTTTTTTTCTGCTTAGGGCGGCAGAAAACCTGGAGCCGGCCCTGTTTTTATTGTAGAAGTTTCATAAGTTTCAGGAGCAGAATTTTTGACAGGGCCTTCGTTGTGGAGCAATAGGCAATCTTCTAGATATCCTGGGCCCAGAGTGCTTTGAATCATAGAATCATAGAACTGGAAGAGACCTCAAGAGGTCATCTAGTCCTGCCTTGAGTGCAGGGGACTGTACTAAGTATTATCTATACCATCCCTGTCAGGTGTTTGTCCAACCTGCTCTTAAAAATCCCCAATGATGGAGATTCCACAACCTCCCTAGGCAATTTATTTCAGTGCTTAACCACTCTGACAGTTAGGAAGTTTTTCCTAATGTCCAAACTAAACCACCCTTGCTGCAATTTAAGCCCATTGCTTCTTGTCTGTCCTCAGAGGTTAAGAACAATTTTTCTTCCTCCTCCTTGTAACAACCCTTTGTGCACTTCTAAACTGTTATCAAGTCTTCTCTTCTCCAGACTAAACAAACCCAATTTTTTCAATCTTTCCTCATAGGTCATATTTTCTAGATCTTTAATAATTTTTGTTGCTCTTCTCTGGACTTTCTCCAGTTTGTCCACATCTTTCCTGAAATGTGGTGCCCAGAACTGGACACAATACTCCAGTTGAGGCCTAATCAGCATGGAGTAGAGCCCGGAAGAATTACTTCTCGTGTCATGCTTACAATACTCCTGCTAATACATCCCAGAATGATGTTTGCTTTTTTTGCAACAGCATTACACTGTTGACTCATATTTACCTTGTGATCCACTATATCCCCCAGATCCCTTTCCGCAGTATTCCTTCCTAGGCAGTCATTTCCCATTTTGTATGTGTACAACTGGTTGTTCCTTCCTAAGTGGAGTACTTTGTATTTGTCCTTATTGAATTTCATCTTATTTACTTCAGATCATTTCTCCAGTTTGTCCAGATCATTTTGAATTTTAATCCTATCTTCCAAAGCACTTGCAACCCCTTCCAGCTTCGTATCGTCTGCAAACTTTATAAGTGTACTCTCTATGCCATTATCTAAATCCTTTATGAAGATATTGAACAGAACCAGACCCAGAACCGATCCCTGCGGGA